AAAAACCTTCAAAAACCAGGTAAAAAGGGCCTGGAAGTGCTGAAAAACCCTCAAACCACCATAAAACAAGTAAAAAGGGCTTAGGAAGGCTGAAAACCCCGAAAAATCACTAAAATTCAAGTAAAAGGGGCCTGGGAGGACCAAAAACAACTAAAAACCTTCAAAAACCAGGTAAAAAGGGCCTGGAAGTGCTGAAAAACCCTCAAACCACCATAAAACAAGTAAAAAGGGGCCTGGGAGGACCAAAAACAACTAAAAACCTTCAAAAACCAGGTAAAAAGGGCCTGGAAGTGCTGAAAAACCCTCAAACCACCATAAAACAAGTAAAAAGGGGCCTAGGAAGACCAAAAACAACTAAAAACCTTCAAAAACCAGGTAAAAGGGGCCTGGAAGTGCTGAAAACCCCTCAAACCAACATAAAACAAGTAAAAAGGGCCTAGGAAGGCTGAAAAACCCTCAAAACCACTAAAACCATAATATAATAATATTAATATAATCCTATGTCACAAAATCTGTTAAGTTGTCTGACCATAGCTGCTGTGGAGGTCTGTGTACGGGCTCGAAGTGGAGTCTTGCGGCCGCAGGTGGAGCTGGGGGTTAAAGTTTTCAGGCATGGTGGTGTAGCCCTCCTCGCAGGAGGCCTCCTTGGGGTCTAGGGAGACTTTGGCACATTCAATGACGATATCGTGGATTTCATACTTTTTCCATCTAAAAGAAAGCACATCACCGTTAAAGAGTTAAATTAGACGTAAACAAAGGGATAAACAATGTTTTTATTTTTAGGTGTACCTGGTGGGGTCCAGCTCGTGGTCTTTGGTTCCCGTCACCAGCTCAGGGTGTATTCGAACATGTTCAAGCATCGGCTGGAAGATTTCATCAATCATGTCTCAATACAATACTCAAGAAGTAAAAACACGACAGCGTTAACGACGGGGGTGTAAGAAGACCTCGTGGCACAAAACTGAACGAGGTTAGTTTATTTCTGGTTGGAGGTAAAACAAGACCTGAAGCACCGCTCAAAGGTTGAGAGACAGGTGGGAGACCAGTCAGCTGAGTTTGTGGCAAAACCTAATCTTTTGTAAAAAAGGTTTTCTTTAAGTACGACTGAATCGCGAAATCTAGTACAAAACAGAATCTCTGGGAATTCACTCGTTTGGATGAGCAGGTAAAGTTTACGGCCATTTTTATGGATCTGGAGAACAGATCTTCTGTAGGTTTTGTCAGCACACGACTGACGGTTCATCATGTGCATTTCATGATATTATTAATTAATGTGAGTTTTTTTGAAAGATGACTAATATAGCCTTTAACATTACATAAACTTGAGCTTTGGACTAATAAAGAGTATTGTATATAAGGCTGTATCTACATGGTTTATGTTAATGATGATATTGCACTTACTGACAATGTAATTTGTATTTCAAAATTAAAATAAAAATAAATAAATGTGCACCAATAAATCTGCACCGATTACCTTAACCGGAGATCGGCTGATAGAAAATGTCTAAGTGTCTAAATGCCAAAATCAAAATTATCAGGTTTATCAGGATTTTTTTAAGATCGGCAAAAAACTGCAGTTTGTGCACCCCTAAAAATAATAAATAAAAAAAGGCCATGTGACACATCTGTAAACTCTTCATTCATCAGTAGAATTGAGGCGTAAGTTTATCAAAAATTCTGTTGCAATGTTGCAGAATCATATAGTCCTTTAGAAAAAAATTAAACTTTGTCCATTATTTGATAAAAACATATTAATAAAAATTAGCTCAGATCCTGTTCAATAGGCAAGTGTGCACTATTATGTTTCTTTATGAGATATTTTTGATGATCTGTTAACTCTAAAGCTTTTTTATTTTACAAAATGATACACTTTTTAATTTGAGATTCTGTTTACACAACGTTGTTTAAAAAAAAGACAGGTAAACACTTTTAAATACCAGCTATTTGTAATCAAATGTCATTAAATTTAGAAATCTGTGACTATTTGTTAAATTATCTTTTAATTACGCTCTTTTTTGGTTCACTAAAAATATGTTTAGAGTAAAAATGTGAAATTTAGAAATATAAAAACGAAAAAAAAAAGGAACAGATTTTCCCGGTGAGACGAGCGTCTCGTTACACCCCCCGATCGACAACAACGACCTCACCTTCACCACCTCCTCAAAGGTGTCCATGTTCTCCTTCATGCTGTAGTGGGAGCGCAGGTAGGACACGAAGTTGCACGGGTACATGCCGTAAAGCCTGTGGAAGAGCGAGTAAACGCTGGCGTGCAGGTGGATCAGGTGGACCTCTGAAACATGGCCTGACAGAGAAAAAAAGTAGGAAGTTTCAAACATCTAGCTACACACACCTGATTTAAAAAAAAAAAAAGGAGTTTTTTTTTTACCCGGGTTCTTCAGGTTCCACGACGCCAGACGACCGAAAATATCAAAATACTCCCACAGGTGTTGTTTCCCAGCTTGAGGGATCATCGGCAGCAGAGTGATCAGCACCAGAACCCCGGTTATGAGCACGACTACATCTGTGTCCGTCTGCCRGGAAATTCAGTTTTTATGTTTAGAACAGGGACAGTTATAAAGTGGACACGTCTCCAACCTCAAAACTATCTAATAAAGACGAGGACAGCCTGGTTTTTATGAAGCTTCACAGTATTTCTTTCTGCAGACRCGAACAGAGCAGCACACGTTACTGTATTTGCTGATGATACTGTATTATATTGATGTGGTAATACGATGGAAATAAATTGAAAATATTAAAGAAATGATGCGACAAAATTAAATTATTACTAAATTATGGCAAAACAATATGTGTAATATTTAGTAACAAAAAAAGTCATGATTTCTTGGGAGCGATACTTGATTACAAATTGCTTTAGAAGGCTCATTTTGAAATGTCAAAAACTTTTGCAATATTAAATAAAATAATTTTTTTCTAAATAAAATTAAATTTTTTCTAAATAAAAATATATTTCCATGAATTACTGAGTGGAGATCTGAAAATTTCTTATAAAACCAAGAAAAACCTGCTTCAGAAGAAATCCATACTAATCATAAATTGAATTATTGTCATCAACTAATGAACTATTTCTTATATTATGTATTTAAAGAGCTTTGAACTATGGAGGACCGAAACTGACATGGTTAGAAATAAAAGCAGAAATTTATAAATTGACCAATAAATAAATATATAGCCTTAAAAAGCTCCAATTAAATAAAAAAGAACTTTACCTGATGTTTTATAATTTAACTGACCTTCATATTTATTTTTCCAGCTTAGTTCCAATGAATGATACATTTTAGAACAAAACTTACATTTTACTTTTATTGAACTATATATG